TAGTAACAATATTTTTTATACTACATTTATCCATTTTAAATATACTAACCTCGCTCCTTTGTAACAACTAAGGCAAAAATCTCAATTCAGAAAATCTTTTCAGGACCCCACCTTGATGTTTCAGGACCCCACCTTGATGTTTCAGGACCCCACTTTGGGTCCCGACCCCAACTTTGGGAAATACTGGTCTAGATGACTTGTTTCTGACACACCCAAGAATAACTCAGTCCTTCAGCCATCATCACTGCTTAGCTAAGATTTCGTAAACCCAGACACTCCAGTTTCCTCTGGACTGCCCCAAGTGTTCTTAGAAGAGGATAAAAGCTTTACCTCTTTACCCGGGATGAGGCCCTGATCCGTTTGTCCTGGACTAAACTCTGAGAACATTTTCTTGAAAAATAWTGAACCCTTTTTTCTCTGTTTAATACATTCTTCTTTTAAAGTCTGTGTATTGAATAGGGCCAGTGCTTCTTTATCAGTGGTGAAAGCTGTGGTATCACAGCYGATGTGCACGTCGGTCCCCCTCTGATGTCGCCTCATCTCTGTGGGGAGCTTGTGACATCGTGACATTGAATCCACAGGTAGAAACACTCACAGAGAGGAACAAATGTGGACAAAAGCATAAAAGCTAAGATGTTCTTGTCATTTATCCCAGCAGTAGCACAAAGTTTCTGTATGTTTTCGTGTTTGTTCCCTTTCTGTTTCCCCCCTGCGCTCTCTTTCCAGCAGGTGTCCTTTAAACCTTTCCACCTTCTCAGAAACTGCAGTCTTCTCAAACACTGTCCTGTTTTTTTTTTTCTTCGCCTCCCCCCGCTGTTTCACATTATTAAAAGTTGAAATGAAGACAATTAGGTGTAGCTTGCTTGCTCCTAATTGTATTACATCCGCACACACACACAGAAAAACCCACACTGAGTGAACTGGAAGGGAGATAGGAAGCAGGAAAAGGCAAATTGTGAGATCACGTTGAGGCTCGTGGTGAGAGACGATGGATTCGCGCTCCGTCTCTGCCTGCTGCTCGTCTCGCAGCTCCCTCTGGATCATCGTTGTTTTCTGTTATTTAAATATCTTCCTCTCACCTCCTGTGTCACCTGCTGCAGGATTCTCACCCCTCTTCCTCCTCACTCCTGTCGTCTCCCATCATCTTTTGTTTTTGCAACTTCCCGTGTCAACGTCTCACTTTCTTCGCACCTCACATTCCTCACTCTGTCAGCATGGTGGGTTTTTTTTTTTTTTTTTGAACCAACAATTTCTTGTGATTAACAAGATTTTTAGAAAGTTTGAGGGTCCAAGTTTTTAGTCTGAACCCTCCTCCCTTCTTCAGGACTCGAACAGCGCGCTCTGAAGGAGCCATATTGTTGTTGTTATCATTGTCTCTAACTGAATCAGTTACCATTAGACCTGAATCTTTCTCCTTTGGAGCTCTCTAACCCAATAGAAAACCCACGGGCGCTGTTACAGATGGCCGATCCCCTTCAGGAGGCACAAACACACAGATTTCATTCTGAAGATTCATTGGCCTAATCCCATCACACACACTCAGACATTAACTCATGCTCACACACACATTCAGGGGGACTTTATCAAACAGAGACACAAACACAGAAACACTCGGCTCTCATTGAAAATACCTCGTTATTGGGACTGAATGAGCAAATGGTCATACTGCTGCAGGATGGTGGGGCTGAAGGGTGTGGGGGGGGGGTAGCTGGCGAGGTTGGATGTATGAGAGGGACTAAAGAAGACGGGCCAAATGTCATTCTATCAATGAGGTTATCTCTAATGGATGAACAGTTAAAGTCCTGGTTTTCATTCACTCTGCTCCTCTGAATCCCTCCGCCTCTGTTTGAGTCATCGCTCTAAAGGCAAATTATAAAATGGCTCGAGCTTTTTTCTTTTTTTTACATGTTTAGTTTGTTTTGTTCAGCTGGTTGTTTTTCTGATAGCAGGGTATTTTTATGCTCACTTGGCAATCCAGGCATACAATCAGCCTTTTTATTATTATTATTATTCAGAAAACACGTTGCTACTATACTTTCTTCTTTTTTTAAGTCTAGTGTAAATGTGTAGCAACTGTTTGGTTTACTGTATTTGCAAACTTTTTTGGCAGTATATAAAAAGCTTTACGGGACATATAATGCTTTTCTTTTTTTTTTTGTTTAGTTTTGCAGAGATACAGAAATTTCTTTTTATTTTTTGTAACACGTTTTCTTTTTTTGTTGTCTTTGATTTTACTGCTATGGTTTTACATGACCCAGTTGTAAAACAGATGTTCTCTTATTCCTTTTTAAATGAAGACTTTGCCTTAAATGTTCAGTGTTGTCAGCCCAGGTTTTTTTTTTTTGTTTTTTTTTTTTTTTGTCTTTTTTGTCTTTTTTGGAGGGGGGTGGATTTCAGACCTCACCCCTTTGCTGCAGTTCAACTTTAATAATCAACCATGGTATACACAGCTAACCAAAAAGTTAGCTTCACTAGCCTCTAATCTGCTAAACAAGAGTCTTAGCTCTGCTAATGCTAAACAGATTTGTTTTTAATTGGCGAAAGCTAACTGCTAAGACAACTGTCTTCATTTTCCAGTTAAAGGCTGATGGAACTGATGCAAACCTGTTTTAAATGTTGTTAAGTGTTATTTTATTTCTTTTTGATGCTCCTAGTTTGAAGTTTAGCTGCTAAAGATGCTACATGCTAAACACACGGTGCCTGACACGTCTAGTAGCTTACTGCTTGTAAAAGAGGTTAGTTTTTATTTGATACGGAATAACAACATGATAAGTTTGACACTTGGGCGGTTTTTAAGTGGACTTAAAATTAGTGGAACCTAATTTAGTGGAAGCTTATCGGCCCACTAACAGTTTCCAAAGATAGGATTAAAATCTAATAGAGGCTAGTTTCGCTATTACTGAATTAGCAAAAGTTCAACGTAGTTCATTTTTCACAATAATTCGTCCTTTTATCTGTCCGTTTGGGAGTTAATTAAGTCTTGTCAAAGTAGTTTTATTTTTAACCAAAACAAAAAAAAATGTTTGATTAGTATCGGAGGGTTTGTCCTTGACCTTTGACCTCAGCTATGAGGAGCGAGCCCGTTACCTGGAGACGATAGTGCAGCACCACCAGGAGCCGACTACGTTTGAGGATTACGCAGCTCGGGTCTACAGTCCTGCTCCCTACACTCACCTGCCATCTGACACAGGTAAGACAATTATTACACCACATCCCTGCAGAGTTTCACCAAACAGAGCGCTGATGAAACATGTTTCTTTGTATCAATTTGACTGATTGAAGGGAGCATTTTCACCTGGTTACATTTGAACACTTTTGTTACTGTTAGATTATAAACCCAGTTAACGTCTGGGTCAGATTACAGCTCGTTCTGGCAGCTGACAGTCCGACTCGCAGCCTCTGCAGGGTTCTGTTCTCCATCCTCTTTATCATCCGGAGTGTCTCTGAGGAATCRGCTGACATCTGATCAGCTGCGGAGCTGCCAGGCGTACACATTACACTCATATGCATCCTGTTAAGTTCATTACCCAGATACTGATCAACCCTGCCTGTGATGTGTTTAAGTGAAATTTTGACCCATGTTTTATTGGATAATTGGCGTTTACTCACAAGAACTCACTTCAGCAGGTATAACTTGCAGTGTAGCAAAAAGGTGACGTTTTATCCTAAAGTAGTGCAGTATTTCTGTAATAATGTAACAGTGACAGGTGTGATTGTGTTTCTTGGCTCTCATCTCTGCTGCTGATTTGTTTGAAATATTAATAATTATAGAACAATAATCAGAAACAATTGCTTTGAGGCTGAGTTTCTTTTGGCAGAACTGAAATGTGTGCCTTCAGAGCCCAGGGTCATAATGTTTCTCAGATTTGTTTGGATTCTGTCAAAAATGTTTAAAGTTTTGATGATCCTGTGCTTTGAAATGAATCTTTATCTTCCTGTCCTGAGTTAACCTGCAGCTCCCTGCCTTAACACCACAACGATGTTGCTTTTCCTCTTCCTGTTTTTATTAATTACCCAATTATTTGTTCTAATTTTTTGTTTTCGTTGATTTTTGTTTCTTTTTCGCTTTTTTCTTTTTGTTTCCCTCCTTTCCTTTAGATCGTTTTGTCTCACTGTATAGCTAAAATAAAGGTAAGCCTGGTCACATGATTGAAACGCTCCGTTGTGATTCGGCCTGACTCACGCTGTCTTCCTTCACCGTGTGTTTTTATTCGTTTCTTCCTCTGTTCTCTGGATTGAAGCAGGTCTGCGTGTGTTATTAATGTTCTTTTAATCTCCGAAAGGAAGGGTCACTTTCATCTCGGTTTATTTATCTCTTCACAAACAGTTTCTTTCTTATTTTTAAACCACAAAAAGTGAAATGTAACCAGCCTGACTCTGGAGCAGCGAGCTGCTCTCATCGTTTGGGTGAAAGTGAGTCTTCCTCTCGTAACGTTTCGAGGTGTTTCTCCTCTTCTGTCTGTAGTTTTCATGGTTGTTCTGTTAACCCTCGACGTCACGCTGACCTGGTGAAACTTGACCTCTGACCTCTCCTCCTGGTTGATGTCGTTCTCTTCACACATTTTAACACGGTTCAGCTTTTTTCCTGCACAGAAACTTGAGCTGTTTGAATGAACTAACTTTGTTTTGACTCCATATGTTTCTGTCATTTGGTTTAGATGAGTTGTTTTAGTGTATTTGTGTTTTATTTTCTGTTTGTTTGTTTGTTTGTTTGTTTGTTTGTTTGTTTGTTTGTTTGTTTGTTTGTTTGTTTGTTTAATGATTGTCTTCTGTAGGTGTGGGAACTTTTTTCTTGACTTTATTTATTTATGTATATTTTTTTTCTTTCCACTTTCATCCTCCTGCTCCTAAAATTGTCCTCTCCTGACTGTTTTTCCTCCCTCTCCTCTTTTGTCTGTTCCTGTCTTTTTTCTCTCGTTTTCTCCTTTTTATTTCTTCTCTTTCATCTTGTTTCCCGTTTTTTGTTCCATTCCTCACATTTTCTCTCAATTTTTTTAACCATCTCCGTGATTATTTTCTCTCCTTTCTTTTTTCTTTTGCCTCATTTCCTTTCTTGTCCTCTATTTTTCTTTCATTTTATTCCTCTTCCTGCCTTTCATTTTCACTCCTTTTCTTTTTCCTTCTGCTTTCCTTTTCTTATTTTATCTTTCTTTCCTCCAATCTCCTGTCCTTGTCTTCTCCTACCTTATGTTTCCACTCTTCCCCTCTCCTCATCCTCTCCTCCTCTTTTATTCTTTCCTCCCTTCATTTTTCCTCCTCTCTTTCTTCATCTCCTCTTCTTTCCTTTCCTTCAATCTCTCATCTCCTACTTTGCGCTTCTCCTCTCCTCTTTCCTCTTCTCTCCTCCAATCTCTCATCTTTTCCTTTCCTCCTCTTTTATCCTTGCCTCCTTCTTTTTACCCTTTCTACTCTCCTCTTTTTACTCTCTTCCTCTCCTTGTCCTCCTCAATTTTCCTCCTTTCTTTTCCTCCCCCCATCTTTGTTTCCTCTCTACCCGGTCCTCCTCATCTTTCCCCCTCTCCTCCTCATTTCATTCTCTCCTATCCTCACTTCTCCTCATTTTCTTACTTTTTCTCCCCCCCACTCTTCTTTTCACTCCTCCTTCCATTTTTCTTTTTTCCTGTCTCCTCTCATTATTTCCTTCTCTATTCTCTTTTTCTCCTTATATATCCTCTCTCTCCTCCCCTCYTCCTCCTCCTCATCTATCCTTCTCTTTGTTCCTCCTCTCTTATCCTTGCCTCCTTTTTTACCTTTCTTCCTCTCTCCTCCTTTTGTTTTGTCCTCTTATCCTCACCTCCTCATCTTCTTACCTGTTCTCCTCTCCTCTGCTCTTATCCTCGCCTCCTCATTTTTTTAACCTATTCTCCTCCTCCTCCTCCTCCTGCTCCTCCTGCTCCTCTGCTCAGAGGAGCACAGTGTTTTGTATCTCATGGTTCCTAAGCCACTGGACAGCTTGAACCAGCTCAGGGTGAAAGGAAAAGTTCTGAAGCAGAAAGTTCTTCATGCAGGCTGTGAATGGTACAACAGCTGATTAAAACTTTTCACTTATTTTAGCAAAAACAAAACAGAAAAACATTTTCAACTGACTTTTTATGTCTTTACCTGTAAAACAAGTATGTATTTAGTAAAACGTTGAACAGCTAATTTACAGTTTTAATCATTCCTGCTTTAAAGGGGCAATATTATGTGTTTCTCAGGCATATATTTAAATACTATACCATAATAAAGTATCTATGTCACCTTTAGTTGTTATTAAAATGCTGTTTTTATGTTTAAATAGAAAATAAACTTATCTTCTCATCACGTCCTCTTCTAAACACCTTGAAATTGGCCTCTGTCTCTTTAAGAACCACCTTTCGTCGTTTTGCCCATTTCGGTGGTGGTGGTGGGGGGGCTG